TTCGGGCTTGAACTGATGGTAAAACTAATGACATTATTTACTGTCTTTACATTTATTTTGAAAGATGAAGCTCGTGATTATGGTAAGGGGCGTTACATTTCCGACGAGTGCTTGCGGTGTTCGGCCAATCACAATGCACTGGGTCAGCTGGCCAATCAGAGCAGACTGCGCTTGTCGGAAGGAGGGACTTTGTAGAAAAAGAAGCGTTTGAGAGAGGCGGGTCATATAGGACCTACAATAATGTACAGTATTTGAAAAATAATGTGTTTTTTGAACATTAAAGCATGTCAACATATTCTGTTACACCAAATACACAAAATAATGATCTTTAAAAAAGCACCATATGACCCCTTTAAAAGTTCGTGGCAAGTATTTTCTACTTTTTACATTTTGATGTATTTTTGGAAAGAAATTAGTACTTTTATTTAGCATGGACACATTGATTTGACCAAAATTACAGTAAAGACTTACAAATAAATGCTGTTGATTTGAATGTTATATTCATCAAAAAAATCCTGAAAAAATTTATTACCGTTTCCACAAGATATTAAGCAGCACAACTGTTTTCAACATTGATAATAATAAGAAATGTTTATTTAGCAGCCTATCAGAATGATTTCTGAAGGATCATGTGACACTGAAGACTGGAGTAATGATGCTGAAAATTCAGCTTCGCCGTCACAGGAATAAATGACATTTGAATAGAAAATAGAAAACATTGCAATAATATTTTTTAAATATTACTGTTTTTACTGTATTTTTGATCAGACAGATGCAGCCTTGGTGAGCATAAGAGACTTCTTAAAAAAAAATAAAAAAATAGTGTAGGCGTACAGTTGCTCAGTTTAGCATGACCTGTTTGATTATATTCTTTCATTTTACTTCATTTAATTTTTTTCTCCATTGTAGTAAATGCATTCTTAATAAATCCTCTGTGTCATCACAGTAAATCTTCAGCAGCTGGGTCCATGTTTGCTTTTCATTCCCAAGTCTCTTTTTCTATGTCTTCGCGTGTGTGTAGCTTGAGTCTGGCTGTGGCGCCCTTGGCCCTGAAGGTCCCTGTTCGCTGTGTGTCTGTCACGAAAGAGAGCAGTCATATTCTAGTGGGCCTGGAGGATGGCAAACTCATTGTGGTGGGAGCAGGAAAACCGGAGGAGGTGAGGTTGAGGGGTTTGCCAGTAGGTCTTAAATAATTAAATAAATCTGATTTGTATGCTGAACTGTTAGTACATCATAATGCTGATAGGCACAATTTACACCACTAAAAAGTATTCATTTTTAAAACAATTTACTGCTACATTATAAGTGTCACAATTAGAAAACTATTGCTTAAGTAGTAAATATTGAGGAAACATTACAAAAATGAAATATTTTCTATTTACACTCAGATGTACATAACAATACTTAAGAAAAACTTTGTCACTACTTCTGTCACATCACGTTTTTAAAAGAATGACCGATGGAACTGTCACTTCTGTGAGGTTATAGTGTTATTAGTTCATCATAATGTTAATAGGCACATTTATATGCAACTGCGTGTTATAATGGTAGAATTACCATTTTATATCTCACAATTCTGACTTTGTAACACACAATTGCGAGTTTGTATCATACAATACTGAGAAAAATAGTCAGAATTGTGAGATAAAAAGTCTTTTTATCTCACTTTTTTTATTTTTTATTCAGTGGCAGAAACAAGCTTCCATAGTAAATATTATAGAAACTGTAAAAAAAACAAAAACTTAATTCATTTTTTTATATAATTTTATATATAAAATTATACTATTATTATTATTCAAAATATACTATTATTCCTAAAATATACTATTATGTTAGTTCATCATCTATGTAATGCTAAAATGTTTTTAAAATGTGCATGAAGCAATTAATATTAACCAAGATTAATAAATGCTGAAAATGATTAAGAAGTTATTGCCTGTTGTTAACTATTGGGACAAGTACTGTATCATGTTACAAAAAAAAATAAAAATGACCTTCCCTTTGTTGAAGATGTTAATTTTGTATAACTTATGTGTTGAATTTTTCACTTGAGTCAACAAATTCTTTTCTCAAGGCCTAAAAAATTCAATATTTAAACCTCTGTCTTAACTCAGGTGCGGTCTGGGCAGTTTTCCCGTCGACTGTGGGGCTCCACACGCAGAATCTCCCAGGTGTCCTCAGGAGAAACCGAATACAACCCCGTCGAGCCTTCTGCTAAATGAGCCTCACAAGCCTTCAGCAAAACCTTTGCATCCACAAGAAACGATAGCGTCAGCTCTCCTGCACCGCTCGGCCGCTTTCCTTCCCTTCTAAAACAGAGAGCTTGGGAACAAGAGAGCATAAAGGGAACACAAGTGGTGAACATCCAAACGTGCACTTTTTTACAAAAAGGGAAAACGAGCATTCTTCTCGAAAATGCAATTTGTTTTATACCGCTTTTAACAAACAAACATTCCAAAGATTTTTGATCAGGCGAATCAGGCAGTCGCCTGCAAACTTTTTAAGTGTTGATGGCTAAGACTGAACTTTTTAAAAGCAGTATGTTCTGTCCTGTGAATCACAGACTGGCTGGAGCCCGAGGCACTGAAGCTCAGCATGATGGACTTAGTCTCTGTCACTAAGTGACAAACCGTCATCACCTGAGCCGTTTTATAGTCTAGTAGATCTTCCTATGCTGATTTTTGCTTTTGTTCTGCTGATCGCGCTCAGCACAGCAACACTGGTACTCCATCTGACACTTGAAAACCTTCTTATATTCTTATATTGAGCAATGTCGTCTATGAAGCCAGATTTTTCCATGGGACAGGCACCAACAGAGACATTTCAGCTCTGTGTGTATGTATGTGGGTGTGGGTGTTTGTATCGCTTCGCACGGTTACTTGCAGACGCTTTGTATAACGCAATAATTAATGTGACGCCTAAATTAGAACACGATTTTTTTTATACTTGTTTAATGATGTGAAGCGCTTTGAACCCTACTAAGTCTTGAGACTTTATTCAGTACCTCTGGTGCCTTAAAACAGGTAAACAATATAAATGTCCATAATTATGATGGATTATTACATGAAATATATTAAAGGGATAGTTCACCTGAAAATGATCATTTTGTCATCGACTCACTGTCATGGTGTTCCAAACCTGTATGACTGACTTTTTCCTGAAAAAAAAAGAAGAAAA